CCATTTCCTAAAAATGCCCCCAGATTCAGGTCAGATAGGACTGCTAAACAGCAAATAAATATTTTTTTATCGTGTCAGAAGCAACTTGAAAAACTGCAAGTCACTTCTGATGTGAGAGAATTTGCAGTCTGCAGAGGTGTTGCCCAGAGGATGCCACAATGTGTTACCATCCCGTGGGAGGCTTCTCTCATGTCCCCACATGGAAAGCTGGAGCTGACAGATGGGAGTTCACCCCATCTTGATGATTCAAACCGCTGACCTTCAGGCCAGCAGTTCAGTTGGCACAAGGGTTTAACCCATTGTGCCATCACAAGTCCTTATAAATGGGTGCCAGATCAAATCAAGCCTGAACTCTCCCTAAAAGACTAAACTGAGACTGTCATATTTGGCCATAACATGAGAAGATTTCACTCACTGTACATTTATGTATGTATGTATGTATGTATGTATGTAACTTATGTGCTGCCTTTCTCCCAGAGTGGGACCCGAGGTGGCTTTCAAAAACAAGAAAAGGGGAGGAGAAAAGGAAGTAAGAAAAGGGAAAGACCCAATTCTAGATGGAGGGACTCAATCAAGGAAGCCATGAGTGCCCTGAGTTGGCAAGAACTCAATAGGATTTGTTGAATACAGGGTGAATTGGAGGCCTCTCATTCATGAGGTTGTCATGAGTTCATAGAATCATAGAAGGGGGACACATTATTGGACACATCACTGAAGCATCACTGAACATATCATCCAGTTTAAAGAAGATAACCTGGATTCAGAAACCAGATTATATGGCAGCGTAGACTGAGCCAAAGTCATCCAGGTATTTCAGACGTTACCTCCCAGAGCAGGCATGGGCAAACTTGGGCCCTCCAGGTGTTTTGGACTTCAACGCCCATTATTCCTCACTGCCTCAGGCCCTTAAGCGACTGAGTGGGAAAAGGAATGGGCCTGAGGCTGTTAGAAATGGTGGAAGTTGAAGTCCAAAACACCTGGAGGGCCCAAGTTTGCCCAAGCCCCTTGGCACTTCCTGTCTGCAGGTGCTTCCATCCTATTGAATGAGCACAGTTTGATACCGCTTGGTGTGTCACAGCTTAATGCTGTGGAATCCTAAGTTTAGTGAGATTTTAGTCTGCAATGGAAAACTTGGAAAGCATCTCTATTGCAGAATGAATGAACTCAGATACTACTTGAGACACAGGACCGTGCGAGCTGAAGTTTGGGCAGGCACCAACACACTTTGGAAGAGAAAGCAAAAGGCCTTGTGAAACTACCATGATTTCATAGCATTCAGACATGGTGATAAAAGCAGTGTCAGTTTCAACTTCATTTGTTCTACAGTGAGAAAGAGGCACCCCCTGAGAGCAGTCCATCTACTGGAGTGAGTGAGTGAGCCCTGGTCTTGGGGTGCACAGGCCTGTAGCGAGGGGGGGTTTAGGGGTTTAACCCCCCCCCCCGAAATGTTTCAGATTTTTAAAAAAACCTGGTTTACTCATGAATTTTAACTGGTTAACCAAATCCCCATGCTAAGTCTATGAGATGCAAAAAATTAAGAATCCCTCCAGAACTGCAAGCACTATCTCAGGCAAATACTGACAATTTATTCACACTGTCATTCCTTGCAGCAATAGGCGATGTAGTGAAGCAACCAACTTGTGTGTGTGTGTGTTGAATGTTCTCATTAAGGAGGCCAGACTTGGTGGAGGTGGTTGACAGGGGCGGAGCTGCAGGCTATGGAAGGCTGCTCTGCTCTCTGCTGTGATCTTTGCTTCAGCGTGAGCTAGGAGGCAGGTTTCAACCCCCCCCCCCCGTGAAATTTTCACACACTCCCCCCAAAAAATTTCATCCCCTCCTGAATTTTTTTTCTGGCTATGGCCCTGGGTGCAGTTGCCAACTTCAACAAGTTAAACATAAGCCAACAATGACATGTAGCAGCTTTAAAAGCCAATGGGATTTTGGCCTGCATAAACAGGAGTCTAGTGCCTAGATCCAGGGAAGTCATGCTACCCCTCTATTCTGCTTTGGTTAGACCACACCTGGAATATTGTGTCCAATTCTGGGAACCACAATTCAAGAGAGATATTGACAAGCTGGAATGTGTTCAGAGGAGGGCGACTAAAATGATCAATGGTCTGGAAAACAAGCCCTATGAGGAGCGGCTTAAAGAGCTGGGCATGTTTAGCCTGAAGAAGAGAAGGCTGAGAGGAGACATGATAGCCATGTATAAATATATGAGAGGAAGTCATAGGGAGGAGGGAGCAAGCTTGTTTTCTGCTGCCCTAGACACGGAACAATGGCTTCAAACTACAAGAAAGGAGATTCCATCTGAACATTAGAAAGAACTTCCTGACTGTGAGAGCCGTCCAGCAGTAAAACTCTCTGTCCCGGAGTGTGGGTGGAGCCAGGCATGTAGTGGGGGGGCGAGCTTGAGGGGCTTCAGCCCCCCCCCCAAATTCTCATGGTGGTTGCGAAAAGGCCTTACTGGTGCATTATTTAAACTGCTATCAATATCAATATCTGGATCCAGAGGCGGCCTTAGGTAATTTTTAATGGTAAACAAACAGTATTTTGGCACCCCTCCCCCCCAACCAATCACTGATATATATTTTCTGTTCGTCGTGGGAGTTCTGTGTGCCATATTTGGTTCAATTCCATCATTGGTGGAGTTCAGAATGCTCTTTGATTGTAGGTGAACTATACATCCCAGTAACTACACTTGCCGCACTTGCTCCCTTGCCTGGCCCGCTTTGGGTCCGGAGGTGTGCTGAAGACCCCGGCGTGTGCACCAAAAGTCACCTCTTCTCCTGACTTTCTCCTCAGCCATTGGGACCAAGAGAAGAGAGAGAGAGAGGTGGAGATGCCCACCTTTCCTGAAGGTAGGCGCAAAAACAAAGGAGGGAGCGGAGGTGGGAGATACCTCCAGCCAGAGGGGCTCTCTCTCTCTCTCTCTCTCTCTCTTGGTCCCAATGGCTGAAGAGAAAGTCAGAAGAAGAGGCGACTTTTGGTGTGCACGCTGGGGTCTTCAGACACGCCTCCGGATCCGAAGCAGGCCAGGCGCGGCGGCTCCGATCCTTGGCCCACCTGTGGATTGGGGAGAGGAGAGGAGGTGGGTGGAGCAGCCAGGGGATCGGGAAAGGGAGCCGGTCATGGGGAAGGGATCAAACGTGGAGAACGATTGAGCGCCGGCTCTGCTCGCGCACCCAGTGGCCGAGTGGAGCAGGAACGAGAGGGGCTAGGCGAGGCTCAAGGGCCCGGCCCCTTTGGGAAGAGGATCGCCCGGCAGCGAGGCAAGAAAGCCGAGGCTCCCCCGGACTGCTAGGGCTGTTGTGAGCTGAGGGGGCGCTCCTCAAGTGGCGGTCGAGGGGCATTTAACAGAGGCGCCTCTGTGCCCCTGGCAAAAAAAAGTGTTCTGTGACCGCTTACTTCGCGTAATGGACGAGCCACCCCTGTTCATATCATGATCTGATCACCATGCTCCATATATCCCATATGCATGAGGGTATTGGGGTAACGATACAAAAGGTTTGCTAGGGTAGACCCTCTTTCACTCAGACTCAGACCCCCCCCTTGAAACAAACTCACCCCCCCCCCAATCGAAATCCTGGCTACGGGCCTGGGTGGAGCCTCCTTCTTTGGAAGCTTTTAAACAGAGGCTGGATGGCCATATGTCGGGGGTGATTTGAATGCAATTTTCCTGCTTCTTGGCAGGGGGTTGGACTGGATGGCCCATGAGGTCTCTTCCACTGAGCTGTGGAAGGCAGGCAGATGGACACCACTTTTCAGGGCTCTTTTGCCCAAAAATGCTGGTGCCTCCCACCCCCCCAAACTACACCTCCCAAGATCCCCTAGGCCTGATCCGCGGCAGTTCGAGTGGTGCCAAAGTGCGCTAATTCGACGGTGCGGAGCTCCCCCCCCCCCAACCCCACGAGGTCCATCTGGGCTTGGCGGGGCCGCGGCGGGGAGCGCAAGGGGTTAAGAGCGGGGCGTCCTGGCGCGGCGGTGCCTTCCTCGCGCGAGGAGAGCGGAGAGAGGAGCGCGGCGGTGGGTGCGGGTGCGGGCGAGGGGCATGGGCGGCCAGCATGAAGCCCAAGGGCGGCGTGTGGCTCTCGGTCCTCACGGGGCCCGCGCCCCCTCCTCCCCCTCCTCCTGCTGCGGGGAGCAGAAGCCGGAGCCACCCGCCTCCTCGGGTGAAGCGGGGCTTCCTGGTGGCCATGTCGGTGGGCTGCAAGCAGGAGAGTAAAAAAAAGAAGAAGGTGTGTGTGTGTGTCGCTTGTGTTGCTTGAGTTGCTTGAGGCTGAGGAGGCGCCTCTGCTTCTCTAGAGATGATCTCTGCTTCAGGGGAAAATGTCAGTGTTCCTGAGGCCAAAGAAGTGGGGGGTTTCCTCAAACTTTGCCCCCCTTGGTCTAGAGAGGGCGAAATCCCCATCCCACGCCGCAAGCCGGCCCTGAATGCGAATTGAGCATGGCGGAGGGGGGGGGGAGGCGGGTTGGAGGGAAGAGCAGAGCCCTCTCTCCAAATGGGAAAGGCGCCCGGGCAGCGGGGGGGGGGGGGGGGGAACGAGAATGAACAGCCCCCGGCCAAGAACGGAGAGGTGGGGGGAAGGAGGAAAGAGGAGAATGGGTGGGAAGAGCCGGCTGCGTTCCCATGGCTAAGGGCTGTTCCGCCGAATGGGCGCCCTTTCCCCCTCCTTCCCTCCCTCCCTCCTTGCGGTGGAGTTATTATTTGAGAGTGAGGAGGGGGGGGGGAGAGAAGAGAAATGTGCTTTTTGAAAAAAAAGGAAAAACCTTTCACTATTTAATTATTTATTCAGCAGCGCCGAAGCCGAGCGTTGGAGGCTTTGCACAGCAGAGATAGATGGCTAGATAGAGAGATAGATAGAGAGATAGATCCCCCTAGCTGTGGCTCTCTTCCTGTCTTCCTCCCCCCTTTCCTTCCTTCCTCTTCCTCTTTGCCAGGATGCCAACTTTCTCTCCTCTCCCACTGTAACCTGTTACAGTCTCCTTCCTTTTCTTACCTCTATGCCATTTCTATTGCTGCCCATATATGCCTCCTGGGCATAGCTTTCTTTCTTTTTTTTCCTCCCCTCCTTCCTGCAGCGGACTCCTTTCTGCTGGAGTTGAAACCTGTCAATGTGCTTCTGGTGTTGGTTTTTTTTCTTCTTCCTTTTCTTTCCCTTTTCCTCCCTCCTTCTCGCCTTTCTTCTGCTCATGCAGATGTTTGCACCGCTGGCTGCGCCTTTCTAGAAAGAGAGAGAGAGAGAATAAGCAGGGTTGCCTAACCAGCCAGCCACCAAGTCCCTCAGCCAGCCAGCCAGCCAGCCTTTGGATCTATAGCCTGAACTATGCATACATCTGCCCGCTGATCCACTTTCCATTCACTTGCTTCCTTCTTGTTTGATTTCTTGCAGGCCTCTGCGGCAGAGATGGAGAAAATAAGGTAAGTCAGCTGGGTCTATATTTTTTTCTTTCTTATTTAGTTCTTCTTCAAGTCCATATATCTTGTCATTTAGGAGGCAAGCCGTTGTCTGCTGCGTGTAATATTAGAGGAAAGAGAGAGCCCCTCTCTAAATCAGCATGGGCTTGGATAGTTGGCTGTCATAGTGGATTGCCTGCTTTAGAAATGACACTGGTCTGGTTCTAAAGGGAGATAGAAGCAGAGTGTGGTCATAACTGAAGTCTTGTTGCAAACATGTTAATTCAGACCATTCCCTCTCTCTTTCTCTCCTTCACTGGCATGTTTCCATCCAAGGATGCTCGGGCTACTCTGATGAACAAATGTGGTAGCTATCATATTGTCGAAGGCTTTCATGGCCAGAATCACTGGGTTGTTGTGAGTTTTTCGGGCTGTATGGCCATGTTCCAGAAGCATTCTCTCCTGATGTTTCACCTGCATCTATGGCAGGCATACTCAGAGGTTGTGAGACCTCACAACCTCTGAGATGTCTGCCATAGATGCAGGCGAAACGTCAGGAGAGAATAGTTCCCGTATGTTTTGAGTTTTTCAGGCTGTATTGCCATGTTCGAGAAGCATTTCCTCCTGACATTTCACCTGCATCTATGGCAGGCATCCTCAGAGGTTGTGAGACCTCACAACCTCTGAGGATGCCTGCCATAGATGCAGGCGAAACGTCAGGGGAGAATGCTTCTCAAACATGGCCATACAGCCTGAAAAACTCACAACAACCCAGCAGTAGCCATCACTTGCAGATTTCTTTGTAGGAGCATGCTTTTCCTATTGGAGGAAACAAGCCAGATCAATGATTTCCAAGCAGGGCAGGGGAAGAAAAAGCTCTACTGTTGGTGTTTTCAAAAGAAAACACACACAAATGCATTAAAGCATTTAATCGCCTTTGCTTGTATCAGTCTAAATGTTGTAGCCCTGGTATTTGGTTTTCTGATTTGCATTCCTAAATTAGCTGGGAATTTTCTTAGGTGTTTCTCTTCCATTATTATTTTAAGTGTTGTTTCCTCTTGTCTCCAAAATGTTGTCAGCCTGTAGAAGTTTCTTCTTCTTCCCATCGCCCCTGGCAATAAGTCAAAGGGGGGAGAGCATTGCAAAGTGTACAAGTTTCCCCAGCTTCTGTCTTGAGTGTGAAGTCTGCTGTGGAGATTCTGCTCCTTGTGTGTCTTACAAAGACTAATTTGTTTTAGAATGAGGCCATTGATCCCTCTTGAACCAACTAACTTGTTTGTGTAGATGCAGATACACACATGTCATTATGAGGTGCAATTCTGTCCACATTTCCTTAAGAGAAAGCCCCATTGTGAGAAAACACACATAAGATTGCCCTGAGCCTGATCTAGAATTGGAAATCACCTTTGTTTTGGCAAAAGGTTTCTCTCAATATCCTGAGGTATGTTTTCATCTTTGGGTTTAAGTTCGTTTTCTTCCATTTTTAGTGAACTGTTAATATGCAGTTGGTCCAGCTTTCAGATACCTAGATATCAAAGGGTTTTCCACAACATAGTTAATCTGTGACAAGAAAGTTGCAAAACTCTGATGGAAAATCAGGCAAGTCCAGATGAGGAAGAAGAAGACAATGTTCAAAGTTCAAAGACATCTGGATGGATTCCTTTTACTGTAACTGTAATAAAAAGGATAGGGAGAATATATATACATAGCAAGGAGGACTGATGACAGCCATTACTGTACTGGGAAATTTGTTTGATGTGCTGTTCATTACTGTTTCAAAGTTCTCAAGGACGCTTGGAAATGTCTTGGGGGAGTATTATGGTTTCTTGCATGTGAAGCACATGACTGATCCATAAATGTTTATTACATCTACTCAAGAAATTCTAGGTGTGCTACATAGATGTAAGAGACTGCAAAGATAGGAAGATTTGTGGTATTGTGATTTTAGCATTGGATTCTGGGAGACCAGAGTTCAAATCCTTACTGAGCAACGGGAATCCACAATTTCTCAGACTCAGAGGAATAATAATAATAATAATAATAACTTTATTTATATCCCAGCACCATCTCCCCAAAGGGACTCGGGGCAGCTCAAAAGGCACTGGATATATGTGTATATATAACATACAACAGGTAAAAATGATACAAAAGTATAAAACAAGTCACATAAAATCATAACAACCCCCATCAACGCATGTAGCATAATATCAAACTCCCTCTGAACTAATCTTGCCTAGAAACCCTCACCTTAGGATCACCATAAATCACAAATGACTTGAAGGCACAAAACAACGACAACAATCTGAAGTGATGAACTGATGGGGACAGTAGTTCACAGGAAAGGAAGTCGCAGAATGGATTGGAGTGAATGGCCCTTGTGGTTTCTTCCAACTCCAGGATTCTATAATTGATCAATAACTCAAGTATACTCAAACCATCATTGCAGAGCTAGAAACTCAATTCAGTTCATTGCAAATGTTCTCTCAAACCTACTTATAGCATGTTTTTCTAAAGTTCACATTATTCAGGCCCAGACTGGCACCCACTAGATCTGTTGGAATACAACTTTCATTGCTTGCATCCAGCATGTGATGGTTCATACTTTAGTACATCTGGAATATGCCCGTTTGGATAAAATTCCTGCCAGAACATAAAATACTAGAAAACCCGATATTCAATGGGAATAATGTCTCCCATGGAACATGAAAATGTGAGTAGACCAATAGTTACCGCTTCAGCGGGAAGGTAATGGCACTGCCTGCAGTCATGCTGGCCACAAACCTAGGAGGTGTCTATGGACAATGCCAGCTCTTTGACTTCAAAATGGAGATAAGCACCACCCCCCCAGAGTCGGACACAACTAGACTTAATGTCAAGAGAAACCTTTACCTAACGTCTCTCCACCCCGCTGATAATATATACTGGCTATAATACTACTATAATCTCCATGTTTACAGGTATGAACATAAAGAGTCGTTAGAGAGGGTTGTGTGGTCTTCTCATCCTCTGAACTTAAAAAATTCCCCAGGCAGCACAGCTTTTGAGATTTCTTCTCCAACGCAAGTAATTTTGCCAAACTCCGCCTGCCCCATAGGTATCAGAAGTGTAATTATTCCTCCAGAACTGCTGTATGTTCTGTTCAAGCAATTATTGTTTGTGTTACGTGCCTTCGAGTAATTTTTCAACTTAAGATCATCCGAAGGTATTCATCATGTCACAATGAAACCACTATATCATATTGGCTGGTAATTATGGTCAGTCCTTTTCTTTTTCTTGCCAATTTGTACAATTTATAACATTGTCACATGAAGGAGTATAGCCCTGCATATCCCTCCCAGTAACTTTTATGGCACTTGTTTCCTTCACACTCCCTCTGGTCAATTCAGAGGATGAATTTCCTATTCTAGAAGCCTCCAGGAGCAATAATTTCCCCTTTAAATTCATTGCAGATTCCCCTTGCATTGTTGAACTTAAAAAACACAAAGAAAAATGTGTTTTCAAAAATAAGTCATGGACTTTGGACTAGTTTAGTTTTTTGTAAAGTCTGGTCATATTTACAGCTTCTGGAGGGTCTCCATGATAGAAAAGCGACTTCCAGCCCCACCACAGTTGGCCATCCTTGTTTTACACAAACAAGTGCATATTGTACATATATTACTAGGTGTGCGTGCCACAGATGCATGTTGGTTTCATTCAGAAAAGAGAAAGAAGTATTGATAATACTGCTGTCATCACTATGAGGTATGGATAGTATATGAAACTCATATAGTTTTATCTTAAGTATATCTTAACTAAAATGATCAAGGGTGTGGAGAACAAACCCTATGAGGAACGGCTTAAAGAGCTGGGCATGTTTAGCCTGAAGAAGAGAAGGCTGAGGAGACGTGATGGGGGTCATGGATAAACATGTGAGGGGAAGTCATGGGGAGTAGGGAGCAAGCTTGTTTTCTGCTGCCCTGGAGACTAGGATGCGGAACAACGGCTTCGAAGTACAGGAAAGAGATTCCACCTGAACATTAGGAAGAACTTCCTGACTGTGGGAGCTGTTCAGCAGTGGAACTCACTGCCCCAGAGTGTGGCGGAGGCTCCTTCTTTGGAGGCTTTCAAACAGAGGCTGGATGGCCATCTGTTGGGGGTGCTTTGAATGCGATTTTCCTGTTTCTTGGCAGAATGGGATTGGACTGGATGGCCCATGAGGTCTCTTCCAACTCAAAGATTGTATGTCCAAGAGCTGAGCTTTGTAGCCATGTTTACAGTCTTCTGCCCCAGCCTCAATATGATATATTCCCTCTTTCTGGATATATGACCTTTTTCCTTATTATTTCAACACTCTGGCTTTGAAAACATTTTGGTATAGTTCACCTCAAACTCCTTTGCCCTATCGCTCTACAATCAAGCAAACATAGGCACACTTATCCTAAGAATATCTGGGATGAACCAAAGGCCCATTCAGTGCAATGGTCACCAACAGGATCTAAGTCCAGCCACTCCCTCCTGCTAGTGCTCCCCAGTAAGTGGCTTCGAGTACTGGAAGGTATCCTTTCCTCTGAATCTGTTGCTGTAGCAATGCATGCCTACCTAGTGTAGCAAGTTTTCTTTTTCTGTGGATTTGATGATGAAAACACCTTGGTGCTGCTTTGGTTTTTTTAAGGACATTAAGGACACACAACACTCTGTCTTCTGGAAAGCACCAAAGAAAGACAAAAGAAACCTGACAGTGGTCCTTAAAACAAAACTAGTGTTCCCCTCAACAGGTGATTTCTGATTCTTCTTCCCCATGTGTATGTCTCTGGAAATATTAATTTTCTAGCATTTACAGTGCTTGTGGTAGGTGAATCTATGAATACAAACCTGTTTTTTTCAGGTGGTGCCAGAAGTAACCTTTGTGGTGAGCAGGAAATATGTTACCTGCCACCCCTTTTCACTTGAAATTTCCTACAATTGTGACAATAATGTTTGTGTGGCTGTTATCTTCTCAGCCATATGCTGTTGTGACCGATACCTACTGTAAATCACATACAGTAGACTGAGTTAACCGGCATCCATGGGAATTGGTTGATGCTGGATAAATGTAGTTTCTGGCTGCTTGAGAGTTACCATACTATAAACTCTGCATTGACTTGATATTAATATTGAAATACAGTAATTAAAAAAATTAAGATAAACTTAATGTAACATTTCTGCTAAAATAATGTAATTTTTATTTTTATTTCCAATACTATTTCTTTGATTTTCTTTTCTTTTC